GTGGTTTGGTTTGCATGTGACTGGATGGGATGACTAATTTGTTTAAGTTTCATTACTATAGGTAGTTGCTTTAGTTTCTCGCCACGTGCTAGAGTCATAGGAGTTAGTGTCAATTCCTGTTTTTTCTGTAATAATTTTTTTTTTACTTAGGTCATTTCCTGCATTTTATGATATATTTTTCTTATTCTTGGCTTTGTATAAATCTTGGCAAGTTACTTTTCCTACGGGAAGCGCTGCCCAAATTTCTACAAATCCAAGAAGTTAGTCAACTTGACTTGTTAGAGTTCAACCTGTCTTTTCCACATACCTGGCTTAGTTAAAATCTGAGAAGTCTCCCTTTTTAAAGGGAGTGCTGCCCAAAATTTTGCTAATTCAGGGAGTTAGACAAAATTGAACTTTGGGAAGTCAAAGTTACTTTCAAAATCTGAACTTAGTCTTGTATAAATTTTGGAATAACACTTTTCTAGAGGGAGTGCTGCCGAAATTTCTTACAAAATTATAGAAGTTAGTTAAATTCAGTCTAGAGTTGAGCTCGAGCTGTAGTTCGAGTTCATATCTGACTTAGTATAAATCTGGGAAGTCTTCTTTTCTAAAAGGAGTGCTGCCAAAATTTCTACTAATTCAGAGAGTTAGACAGAATTTGATTTTCCAGAGTTACAGATTATTTCTGTTTTTATATCTGACTTAGTATAAACCTGGGAAGTCTTCTTTTCTAAAGGGAGTGTTGCCCAAATTTCTACTAATTCGAAGAGTTAGACAGAATTTTGACTTTCCAGACTTAGAGATTATTTCGGCGTTCATATTTAGACTTATATAAACTCTGGAAAGACACTTTTTCTGTGGGAAGCGCTGCCGAAATTTTCTTAGTTTAAAGGAGATAGACTATATTTTGACAGGTGACGATTCAGGCGACCCACCCAAAATAAGGGAGATTCTGCAGTTGGTTTACCCTAAGCCTAAGCATTGACTTAAAAATAGGCTTAGGTTTAGCTTTTAGAGAGATTTTGAGCAAGAATGAATTATGAAGTTGTATTCTCCATACACTTATGATCTTAGCTTGGGGATTGGTCTCTCGTGTGTTACAGGCTTTTTTTTCAAGTTCAGGGCTAGATCCAGCTTGATCCTTTTGAGGATCACTTTCTGTTATCACTGATAACAAGTCGGTTGCCGACTCGTCGGCCTATGACTCAATTTCAACTCTCCCTCTACACTCAACCTAAAAGGCTTTAGCCCTGGTGGTCTTCGTTGTTTTATTAAGGTTTTCACCCGGACTTTTATTGAATGGCCATTTAATAAAGGTACTGAGTATTTTAATTAAGGTTGGTTGGACGGGAGGTTTTGGGGCTTGTATGGCTAAAGCGAGGGGTATGAGTGTCGAAGGTGGTTGGGATTGACTCCGTGTAATGTGTGGGTTGTTGATTTGGTTCGTTGATGTGACTGCAGGTATGTGTTGTGAGTCAGATTCTGGATTTGGTTGCCTGCGATCACACATATACGTATTATTGTGAGAAACCCCAATGAGACCGTGAAAAGTAATCGTCACATACTTAACCCTTATATATGTATACATGGGTATACTTGGGATGAATGTTTGCATGGGTTGAAGACCCCCCACATTAGAGTCTTACTCAGAAGCTGAGACTGAGGGGCTTAGGGGAGGTCTCTCCTTCTATTTTTGTCTCTTGCTTTTTGATGATTTTCTTAGTCGGACGTTTGGTCCTGGGTCGGGATTCGAGGTCCTTGTCCAGGACACCCTAAGCCCTAGGCTCTGCAGGGGAGGGGTTTTCCCTCGCGCAGAGCCTATTTGATTTGCCTACCGAGACACTCTGGTCGAGAGCCTAAGGTGCAGCGGCGGCTGCAGGACTATTCCTTCAGCCGTGCAATGTCGTGAAGGGTTAGGCCCTCACGACACTTCAAGTCTGACACTTGAGTGTCATAAGCGGTACTCGGATCCACGAGGGACCGCTTGATTATGAGCACTACATAGTACGCCATCATTGCGACTGCTTGTGTACGCCTGCATTGCAAGTCGATATGAGTAAGCCCTGCGTCCGCGCGGTTTTATACTAAGTTCAGCGCGCGACGCCTATCCGATTTCCGCATTGGAAAGTTATGGGTTGGCTACC